TTTTAAAAATTTTTCACACACCAAAAAAAAAAAAAAAAAAAAAAAAAAAAAAAAAAAAACACATACATTGATTACTCCTATAAGCTAAATAATTAATGCAAAACAAGAAATGCTTCAAATTATTCAGTATACTTTGAGGACAACCACGATGAGCCACCAAGACCTTCCTCTCTAGAATCTTTATAATACAATGGTAAATGAATAAAAAATCAAATGAATGTATAAATCATAAAATTGTACATTATAGTAAAAACTGCAAAGACCACTCAAATATGAGCGCCACAAAAACATGCCATAATAAAATATATATGACCAAAACAAAAAACAGAGCATGCTCTGAAGATCCAAAATATATATTTGTACTTTAACTGTTAACTAGCATTTGGTTAAGCTGGCCTTCAAACAAAATATTAAAACAATTATTGGAAGACTACAAAGAAACAAGAGGCCCATGTTCCCAGGTAACTCTTCCTGGTCACTTGGTAAATGTTAAAAGGGTTTCTAAACCCTCAGCCTTTTTTGCATATATGCAAAAAATTAAAAAAAAAAAAAAAAACCTGCTTTAACAGTGGTTTAAACTTACCCCTGTCTTCTCTGCACGCTCCCGTCCGAAAATGTGAAAATTCTCGGGCGGCTACAAAGCATCTTGGGACGGACACAGTTCACATTTTCGGCCGGGAAGCGAGGAGAGACGCAAGGTAAGTATATGGACGCGTGCACCCGCATGCAGACACCGTGGGACAGAAGTGCCAGCAAGCCCAGAGGAGTCGGCGCTGGATCGGAGACCCGCCACAGCGCTGGAGAGAAGGCTGAAAACATCAGGAAAGAAGATCAGATTAAGAGACATAATTTAAGGCAAGTGCTTTAATTAACGTTGGGGTGAGGGGGAAAAAAAAAGTTGGCTTTAATGTCACTTTAAGGTGTGACTTTGCAGTGACATCAAAGCTTCATGCCATATTTTCGGCCGATATGTTTCGGCGGCCGATATATAGGTGCATCCCTAAAATATAGTAACCTTAAAAAAATAAGATCTGTGTATATTATGCATAGGTTTTGTATGTTGTCTTTTTAAGGGTTTGTTCACAACGTGTCCATGGATCTGTGTTGTGTTTCACACCACGGCACATGGTGGGAACAATTGTTTTCCTTGTGTCCTGTACATACCATACATGTGTGGTGGTGTGCAGAAAAATGTGGCTTAACATACATGGTGCCAGTTGAAGCAAATGTCCTTCAACTGTGTTTTTTTTATGTTTATCCAATGTCCTTGTCACAGTTACACAATCTGTTGCCAAAACTAATACATACAATATAAATAAAAAGGAAAAAAATATATTAGGAACCAAAAACATTCCCAGACAGTGAAAATCTGGTATTGGAATCTTGCATGTTAAACATTGTAGGTAATGTACATAGATTTAGAGAACGGAATCCTGCAATTTTTCTTTTATCACCTTTATGTAAAAATGCTACTGTGTAAGTGATGTCTTGTGACTCCTTTGGCGGCTGATAGTAAAATAGACACAAACCACCTATAAAAAAAAAAAGAAAAACACACAGGTTATCTTCATCACAAAAGGGGTATTCATTTACATTCATACTTTATAAATAGACCTGTAAAGAATTTGCAGGGCCGTATGTGAATAGATATTTGCCAAAACAAAATATTCTTAATTAATTTTATCTACAAGTGGAATTAATGCTTTCCTGTAACATCACATTATGGTCACTAGATGGAGCTAAATCATAGGAAGTATAATAAGTAGGTATGCACAGATACCAAGCACTGTACTTGGTACCAGCACAAGTACTGACACTTATCCAGCTCCAAGACTAGACTAGAGGGAAAAAAAACCCTCAAAAGTTAGGAGGCAGCTGTCATGCTTAAGGAGCATTTGCTACGGGGCTCCTGGGATTTATGCATCCCTGTTTAATGTATGATTAAACATGTAACAGATACCATTTTTTCCAGATCAAGTACAAGTACTCACAGATCCATTTACTGATGCCTTTTTCTTTTTTCTGTCATTTGACAGATTTTCCAAAATACAGACTAATGATTTCAGGACAGGCGTGTCAGGGCCCAAATACCAGCTGCAAGCGCTGTGACCCTAGTAGTTCTAGTGAAAATGCAAGTATCGCACCAATACTGGTATCTGAAAATCCCTAATAGGAAGTATTGATAAGTAATAATAAGTATTTATTTTTCTATGTTCCTCAGTGCCATAACAGTATTGCATGAAAAAAGCATTTGAAAATACATTACCTTGTAAAGAAGCAGCTAAAGTACATTTGTTTTGGCATATATCTGCGCAGAACAAACATTCGCTGATAATTTAGAAATAAACCCCTTGTTCTTATATTCAAGCAATGCAATTTTCAACTAATTAGTGTAAAATATTTGTCTGAGTGTATGTCCCTAATATAAAATTAAGGGAGCAAGTCCAAAAAGCAAAAAAAAAAAAAAAAAAAGACCAAATTACAGGTAAAAATGTGTTTACAATACATGCCCTATCAAGTGTAAAACTTTTAAAGGTAAACATTGCTTAGGCAATTAACTCATCTGATTGATATGTAAAATATTCACTTTTATTACTGTATTCAATTTACTAGTCTAAACCTTCTAGCATTCAAGTAAGCGCAAACTTTTTTGGGTCCTACCATAGTTATATATGCACAGAGCAAATTTTAAGCATATTTTCTCTATTAGTATGCCCAGCTTCTATTTTACCTGTTTGATTTGTAAACACCTGTAAATTTGCAGTTGTTACTCTTCCCCTTCCTCTTTCTTCAGGGGGATCATAACCTAAATTGACCAAACTAAGATTAAAAGGAAATGTTTGGGTTAATTAACATACAGCTGTCACTTAGAACTATAGCAATCAACATCTTCACTACACATCTCTAAATAGGTAGTCACTGACAGGTTAAAGAAGACCAGTTGCATGAACTAAAAGTATACAAAACAAGGTACTGAACAAACCATATTTTAAAATTAATCTCTACTAAAATAAAAGTATACATACGAATGTAATTGCATATGTAGGGTGCGCCTATGTACAAAAACGACAACTGCGTCACACATCAAGTATTGCTGCACACGCTGGAGTGAGAGCAAAAATTCTAGGGGCATTATTCTCAGTTAGCTCGAAACTGATGACCTGTAGCGGCTATTAAAACGTTGGCTATGGATAATTTTGGGCACCCAAGTTTTTCGCTGTTTCACAGATGTGCGGAATTTTGGGGCTTAACGTGTTTGATGTTACAATTAAAATTTGAATGCATTTGTCACTGAAATTTTGAGTTTGATATTGTTGTGCTAATATTGTGTGGCATAAAAAAATGCAACCACCATGTTATTTTCTAGGGTCTCTGCTCTCAGAAAATATATAATTTTGGGGTCTTTGAGCAATTTATTGCCCAAAAACATGCATTTTAACATGTGCTAAAAAGTTGACAAAAAAATGGGAGCGAAAGGGTTTGAGTATGAAGGGCAATAAGTGAAAAATAAGCCTAAAAACACATTTTAAAAAAAATGCAGAGGTGTGAATATAGCTTGAAAGTAGATGGTATGTTCTCACTAGTCACTTCACTGGGTACAGTTATTGGACTACAAAGATGACGGATTTCAAACATGCTACTTACGTTACTCCATCATCAGCAAGAGAGATTTCAAGAGCAACTTCAAGCTTCAGAAAAGAGTAAAAGAAAACAGTAAACGTTCTAGCTCAATTGAGGCAGCTTTAATGGTTTGCTACAATGCATGCTAAAATGTCACCATATGCTGCTTTAGGTCAGTACAAATTAAGCTGAAACTTGACAAGTGTACCCAACAGCTGAAATACCGGAAGGGTACTGTATACTAAGGATAAGGGCCTGTGTCAATAGACTTTGATCTCAAGAAGCATCTAAAATACAACTCAAATACAAGCTCATTCAGAAATTGACAGGTACATTTCACAATTAACAGGTACACAGGTCAATGTTGTTGACCTGCTGCAAGTCAGTTCTGTGTTCTCATAGGACTTGTATGGAAATGCAAAACCCATCTGACGCAAACACAATAGCCCTTCGACACAGGCCCTTATAGTACTGGACAGTGAAAACTGGGATCCCCGGTCACCACTGAGATTTCCCACTGTAGTAGCTTATATGCATTCATGAAGAGAACATCTAAACTACAACAAAAAAAATCTAATTTAGAACATATGTGAAAGTGCTTTTTGACATTTTGTTTTCCAGATATTACTTGTTGTCCATAACAAGATAATCCAAATACTCAAATGTGTTGCTATGCTGTGGTTCAGACATATCAGGTATTGCCATTTCTTTAGAAGAGCTATCTCCTCAAAATAAACATAATGCAACATAAAAGCAACATCTTCCCAGGTTGATTAAAACCAAGATTAAAGCGACAGTCTCTTGGAAAGTTCTGAAGAAAGATCCAACTTGGGAAGAAAAATCTAACATAGGACACTTTAGCAAGAATAGCATAAAATCCTTTTGAAACCAAATGTTCAGTTGTATAATATTTAGATCTTATCATGCAATTTCTATGTTACTCGCTATGGTTTATTAAAAAGAGGGTTTTAAAAAGGAGAGTCTCCCCCTCCCCCCCTCCATTTTTCGCCAAATTAAAACTTTATGGAAATGCCAGTAGTCTGTATAAATCTGCAGTGATCAGTAAAATTATTAGAAATTCAATAAAAAATACTTACAACATATTTAAAATTTTCATCTGGATAAAACTGGATGCAATGCAAAACACCACTTGATCGCTGAAAAAAATAACCCAAAAAACAACAGTTTGAAAAACATTTAATTATGCAACCCTACCTCCTATTTTTCTTGTAGGTTAATAAATGGCAAAGTAAAATTAAGATAGAATCCACTTTGGAAACACTATTTTCAAAATCTTTTTAAATCTCACTTTACACAAGTTAACCTGTAAAATCAAAATCTCAATGTACAACATAATAAAACTATCTAAAGCCAAGAACAAAATCTAAAAATATTGAAGCTTAGCAGTCCTTAGATTACTTTTAGTTCAGGCCCCCCTCCCTTTTTATTGTCCTGCCAATTACACACTTCTCGCAGGATGACAACACTCACTTACTGTACTGCATCTATAGGGGAGCTATGTTAATTGCAAACAAACACTTTTCAGGAAGAAGCACACATTTTTCCTTCAGTCACATTTGCAAATGTTCATGTGGTCCAAGGGAATCCTAAGTATGCATTTAAAATTGTGCAGACATTAGGCACAGTTGAAACTTGATTTAACATAGCTACCATTTTAAAAGATAGCCTTTCTTTGGCAATATGTTCTACTTGTTACAGCTCTTCCGAAGTGTACCAAAACAAAAACTGCTAACAAATCTTCTAAAGTCACGCAAAATAGAAATGTAAATCGAGGAATGAAAGCTCTACAACTGGGATGACATGCAACACCATTTTTTTTCAGCTTCCTTCACACTGTCACCATCACGTGTTGAATTCTAGCACATAAGGACAACTCCGCTGCTGTAGTCTAGAATTTTTGAGAACATCTGACTACCCATCATTAAAGAAATGATAATTCAGAGAAAATTAAGAAAGGTTTGTTGAATGACAGTTCTTTGAGGACACCATTAGGTTCTCCAATTAAGTTTATCTACAGTAGAACCAAATGCGCAGCCACAGACTAAAAGAAAATGGCCATCAGCATGGAGGATATCAGCGCAGAAAAAAAGGAAACCAGGACAATGTGCTGTTGTGGATTCAAAATTGCAAGTCTCTTAATGACCAATACGTAAAAAAAAAAAAAAAGCTCCCGACCTCTCCTGCGGAAATGAATACATTAACAAAAAAAACAAAAAAAGTGTCAACATCTGTCTCAACTGGTGCAGCTGCCCTTAACAACCAGTCATCTTCTATCTGATTTTTACCTACACAGTTTAGAAAATCAAAATTTAATAGAAGATTGGCTGTACTTCAGTTGAGGCAAAGTTTGACAGTTTTTATTTATTCCCCTTGCTGTGTCCAAGGCCAGGAACACATTAATGTCAACAACTGGAAGATATTCTCAATTGCGTTGTAGTCACACTTCAATCAGCAAAGCTTAATGTCTGACCATAAAAGTGCACATTCTTAGAGTTACGCTGGAACTTAATGATTGAAGATGAACCTCTTTCCCATTGTGCACTACCACCAACCTTAGTCCTACCTTCCCGTTTGGTCCTTGACCGGGCTCTCCCTGCTACCTCACAGTGGCCAACAATTGCATAACAACCTAGGGCGACCTTGCTTTTAATAACCAGCTTACACTGACTGCACTTGGCTCTGAAGCACCGTACGTCTCACTCACTAGTTGGGAAGTGATGCTGCCACTGATTTCCCTTTTCCATGGTGTATTTGTTTGTCTATATGCTGCCTCCAGACCCTTTTTATGTACTCTTACAGTACTCAGGATTCTTTTTCTATTTGTGGGCTGGCTAGGCCAAACCTAGGTCTACTATTTGAAGATGTATAATAGATGACATGTCTATTGTGAACCTATGCGTTGTGTGATTATCTGTGTTATGAAAACTCTCAAAGAATAAAAAAAAAAACACATGCACATTCTGCATCTGTTAGCCTGCAGTAACATTGCTCAAAATCAACATCTGCTATTACATTAGTACTTGGCTCCTTCTTGGATATCAGCTACCTTGGGCTCCTATCGTTAGTCATCTATCACCTACCCTGACATTTTGCCTAATCCTTAATTACACTTGTCTAGATATTTCATCTGCCCAGACCTCGAAGCTGCTTTTCAAGTTGGTACTTCAATCTGGTCTGTCTGTACTGTCGTCATTTGCTACTGGCTATGAAATCCAAAAGGGTAATTATTTGTAAATGTTCTACAGCGCAATATGCATGCTTTCAGGGGTTCTTGCGCAGACACTGTTAGAGCCTGTGCCTCCTCGAGAGCCTTCTGCCACCTTCTGGTGACACAAAGGATCCACCTCTAAAGGATGGCATGCTATGGATTATTCCTCCCTGCAACTAAACACCACTCTATGAATAATAATTTCAGAAAAAAAAACAAACAAAAAAACTCACTTAATTTATCTATAAGAACAATAACATGTTAATCAGTAGTCTTTATTTTACAGTATGTGATTAATTGATATGGCACAACACAAACTACTTGAAATAATTATTTCTTCAGACACCTAGATACAAGCTTCTATGATTCTCTAAAAACTGAATGTATGAAACATTTGAGAAATGTATTCATCTTTAAGCAAACCAGCAAATTAAACGTACATTACACCAGATGCACTTTAACCATTGCAGATGGACTGCAAGTGCCAGGTTCAAGTCTAAATTTAAAGTGTCTGAATATTTGACAGCCGATTTAACAGTGTTGAAGTCAACTCGTTAGCAGCGGTGATTTGCTTTTATTAAATATGCACAGCATACTTGCACATTATGGCACACACCCACCCTCCAGCGGTGACAGATCCAAGCTCTATCTGCAGCTTTGACCATTGTCACCTCTTTCTAGGTCCCGCGGCGCTACTCTTTGGTTATTGGGCAACAACTGATGATATAACTTTGGTATATGTGCACAGAAGTTACACTGCAGTGTACTCCCCAAAACACAAAGAGTCATCAAGACCTTTTGTGACGAGGCTTTGCACGTCTTTGCCAAAAAACTCTACCTTTAGTTGCGCATTAAAAAAAAATATAACACTTCTGTTCTTTTCAAGCTTATACATATTTCACATATACCAGATACAGTCCACTACCCAAACAAATGGTACATTAAGGCTTAGCCCTCATTCACACCTGACCGTTTTGTAGGGCGTTCTACGCTCGACGAACGCTCTACAAAACGGTCAAAAATATAAATTGCATTGTAGTCAATGCCCTCGTTCCCACCTTGCCGTATTTCCGCCCGTCCCTAACGCCCTACAAAACGGCCCACTCCTGAAAAGGTCCCGGGACTACTTTGGGCCGTTTTGTAGGGCGTTTTCCATTGGGATACAGCCAAGTAGCCTTCGGAATCGCGCTACTTTTTACCGCGAATCGCGGTAAAAAACCTGCGCGACAGACTCGCATATTACAATACGCCTAGGTGTGAATGGGGCCTTACAGGGCTGCTGGTTTTTCTGATTTCCCCAGAATGCATACAATTTTTTCATTTTTTTCTTGGGCCAATAACAGGGTTGCCAGGCATTACCCAAACCATTCAACACGGTTTTGCATCACTTGCTGTTCTAATACATGTTTTTCTGGACCTTGGTTCATATTACCATTGACATCAATTGGACTTCCAGTTCAGAAATTTAGATTCAGCGGCTTACAAATATTTTTTTTTTAAAGTAAGGCCGAGCCTCAACTGACTGAACTTTTTAGAAGCTTACTCATCTCTAGTCAGAAGTAAAAAAGGTACATGAAATGTGGAGATTAACAAGCCTTCTAAAATGACTACCAGCTTTACAACATCCAAAAAGATTGTAAATTCATACATGTTTGGTTTGCTTTAAATAGCATAACAGCCACTAAATAAGACCAGTAAAAACTTGAACATCTTTGCACAGCACACTGTATCAAAGCATCCCCATCTAAGATGTGTGAAAAGACAACAGTTAATCTCGCATTCACCAAATATGCTGCATTCACTGCAGGTGAAGCTTTGAGGCGCATGCATTTTAAATGGCAATGATTAATTTGCTACCTTGTCAGTGTTGGTTGAAAGTCGCATTCACCGCTCTATAAATATACCCCACAATGTTATTAAAATTGACATACTATATTGGAAATGCAGAGCCAACACCACAACATACCTTAGGAATAATATAAAAGAGTCTCTGGCCTAACATATCCCATTGCGCCCACACAAAGTCTTCAGCTATTCTGTCCTTAAGGATCGGTCCTGAGTTTTTAATGACCTGTAGCAAAGAAAATAATCCACATTAAACTACAAATGCATCAGTAAGTCATATCTACATAAACAGACATCTTGATGAAGTTATCACACACTTGTAATATCACTTGTTTAGCGCTCCAGAATAAAAACAACTCTAATGATCAACTTGGCTGGCTTTTGAAATATAAACCTTAAACATTTTGAAAGATAACATTCAGTTATTACGCTGGGCAGTGATCCTGCCCAGCGCCGACTACAAGAGGCACCGCGTGAGGCAACAGGGATCGGAGTGAAACTGTGAGTGAGGGAAGCTGGGACGGGGCTGGCTGTAATCCTATTGCTATAGTGTACTGTATATGTAGTACATATATACAGCATACACCTCCACTACAATGCAGCAATAGAGTTCCAATTCTGCCCTGCTAACTTGAATACAATAACTATGTAACTTACATGTACAGTTTGTTAAAAAAAGCATATATTGATTCACAGATACTGTAACTAAACCAACCCTGACCCGGTCTTAAAAGTTATTACTTTGGCTGTTACATATTCTGTTGTGACCACTGTACCAGTAGAGATTTTCACATGCATAAGATGCCCATGCAATATATGTAACAAAATGTGAGCACACTGGAAACTTACCACTTTATCTTCATTCTCTGTGTCTATATGAAACTGTTCAATATCTGCAAAGAAAATGACATGGTCATTTATAATTCCTATGCTCTATCTTCTATTGAAACACAGCATGGAATTCCAACTAGCACTCAGTCCTTCCCCAATTACAGGATATCTGACCTTTTAAACAAAACTGCCTCTAAATGTACAGAATTCCTTTTTCAACTTGGCCAAAAACACTACAGAAAAATCACCGGGTTGGCAAAGAAAAAAAATAAAAAAGGGAGCTGCTTATAAACACTGTAGCAAAAACACATTTCCACAGGAATGGAGAAATTGCACATGCTGGCTCTTCAGACTCAGGAAATATTAAACATGGAATTTAACTAATGGCTATGAACAATTTCTCCCATGATGAAAACCTTCTCTCCTGTTTTAATAAATAGGTTCCTAGTTTTCTTAGGACTAAAGAGCAAATGAGGGTGGGGGATGAAGAACGCAAACAAAAAATCCTAAATCTATGAAGAGCTATGTTTAAACAGCAAGGCCAAAATGCTTTCCAGTTTACTCATACCGTAAAAACGCTGTCCGAATACCGATACAAGCATCAGTATCGGGACCGATAGAGGGCATTTTGACAAGTACTTGTCAAAACACACCGAAGGTTGCGCTATGCTTTTTTTTCTTTACTTACCTTGCCGCGCCGAGTGTCTCGTCACTGCTGCTCCGGTGGGCGGCGCTCCAGATGGGGTCCTAATTTAGGTGGCCAGCGACTGCCCAGAGGACCCCACCTGGAGCGCTGCCCACCCGAACAGCATTGACGCGACGCTCCTTCAGCTCAGCACCGACGATGTCCTCGCGTGAGGAAAATCGTTTGGCACATCGTGAGGCAGCGCGATCGAGGCAACAGATAGTGAGACTGGGCCTAGGCTTAAGTGGGAAGTTGTGTGAACAACAGGAATCTACTGCTGCAGTGTATTGGGAATATGTACTGTACATGTACTACATATAGAATACACTGCAATAGATTTACAATTCTCCCCTGCTAAAATGAATGGGTTAAATGATCCATATGTAGCCCTGTACTATGGATCATTTAACCTATTCATGTTAGCAGTGCAGAATTGTAACTATTGCTGCAGTGTATTCTATATGTAGTACATATTTCTTTGCACAGCACACTGTATCAAAGCATCCCCATCTAAGATGTGTGAAAAGACAACAGTTAATCTCGCATTCACCAAATATGCTGCATTCACTGCAGGTGAAGCTTTGAGGCGCATGCATTTTAAATGGCAATGATTAATTTGCTACCTTGTCAGTGTTGGTTGAAAGTCGCATTCACCGCTCTATAAATATACCCCACAATGTTATTAAAATTGACATACTATATTGGAAATGCAGAGCCAACACCACAACATACCTTAGGAATAATATAAAAGAGTCTCTGGCCTAACATATCCCATTGCGCCCACACAAAGTCTTCAGCTATTCTGTCCTTAAGGATCGGTCCTGAGTTTTTAATGACCTGTAGCAAAGAAAATAATCCACATTAAACTACAAATGCATCAGTAAGTCATATCTACATAAACAGACATCTTGATGAAGTTATCACACACTTGTAATATCACTTGTTTAGCGCTCCAGAATAAAAACAACTCTAATGATCAACTTGGCTGGCTTTTGAAATATAAACCTTAAACATTTTGAAAGATAACATTCAGTTATTACGCTGGGCAGTGATCCTGCCCAGCGCCGACTACAAGAGGCACCGCGTGAGGCAACAGGGATCGGAGTGAAACTGTGAGTGAGGGAAGCTGGGACGGGGCTGGCTGTAATCCTATTGCTATAGTGTACTGTATATGTAGTACATATATACAGCATACACCTCCACTACAATGCAGCAATAGAGTTCCAATTCTGCCCTGCTAACTTGAATACAATAACTATGTAACTTACATGTACAGTTTGTTAAAAAAAGCATATATTGATTCACAGATACTGTAACTAAACCAACCCTGACCCGGTCTTAAAAGTTATTACTTTGGCTGTTACATATTCTGTTGTGACCACTGTACCAGTAGAGATTTTCACATGCATAAGATGCCCATGCAATATATGTAACAAAATGTGAGCACACTGGAAACTTACCACTTTATCTTCATTCTCTGTGTCTATATGAAACTGTTCAATATCTGCAAAGAAAATGACATGGTCATTTATAATTCCTATGCTCTATCTTCTATTGAAACACAGCATGGAATTCCAACTAGCACTCAGTCCTTCCCCAATTACAGGATATCTGACCTTTTAAACAAAACTGCCTCTAAATGTACAGAATTCCTTTTTCAACTTGGCCAAAAACACTACAGAAAAATCACCGGGTTGGCAAAGAAAAAAAATAAAAAAGGGAGCTGCTTATAAACACTGTAGCAAAAACACATTTCCACAGGAATGGAGAAATTGCACATGCTGGCTCTTCAGACTCAGGAAATATTAAACATGGAATTTAACTAATGGCTATGAACAATTTCTCCCATGATGAAAACCTTCTCTCCTGTTTTAATAAATAGGTTCCTAGTTTTCTTAGGACTAAAGAGCAAATGAGGGTGGGGGATGAAGAACGCAAACAAAAAATCCTAAATCTATGAAGAGCTATGTTTAAACAGCAAGGCCAAAATGCTTTCCAGTTTACTCATACCGTAAAAACGCTGTCCGAATACCGATACAAGCATCAGTATCGGGACCGATAGAGGGCATTTTGACAAGTACTTGTCAAAACACACCGAAGGTTGCGCTATGCTTTTTTTTCTTTACTTACCTTGCCGCGCCGAGTGTCTCGTCACTGCTGCTCCGGTGGGCGGCGCTCCAGATGGGGTCCTAATTTAGGTGGCCAGCGACTGCCCAGAGGACCCCACCTGGAGCGCTGCCCACCCGAACAGCATTGACGCGACGCTCCTTCAGCTCAGCACCGACGATGTCCTCGCGTGAGGAAAATCGTTTGGCACATCGTGAGGCAGCGCGATCGAGGCAACAGATAGTGAGACTGGGCCTAGGCTTAAGTGGGAAGTTGTGTGAACAACAGGAATCTACTGCTGCAGTGTATTGGGAATATGTACTGTACATGTACTACATATAGAATACACTGCAATAGATTTACAATTCTCCCCTGCTAAAATGAATGGGTTAAATGATCCATATGTAGCCCTGTACTATGGATCATTTAACCTATTCATGTTAGCAGTGCAGAATTGTAACTATTGCTGCAGTGTATTCTATATGTAGTACATATTTCCAATCCACTGCAGCAATAGTTACAATTCTGCTCTGCTAACATGAATAGGTTAAATGATCCATAGTACAACTACATGTTACGTACATATTATGTACCATGGATCATGATTTAACCTATTCATGTTAGCAGGGGATAATTGCAACTCTATTGCTGCAGTGTACTGGACATGTGTGCTGTATATGTACTATGGATCATGATTTAACCTATGATTTAACCTATTCATGTTAGCAGGGCAGAATTGTGAGCGCCTCCCACAAACTGAGCATCGAGACGCGATGCAGTGATCCTGCCCAGCGCCGACTACAAGAGGCACCGCGTGAGGCAACAGGGATCGGAGTGAAACTGTGAGTGAGGGAAGCTGGGACGGGGCTGGCTGTAATCCTATTGCTATAGTGTACTGTATATGTAGTACATATATACAGCATACACCTCCACTACAATGCAGCAATAGAGTTCCAATTCTGCCCTGCTAACATGCATAGGTTAAATCATGATCCATAGAACATAACATGTAGTTGTACTATGGATCATTTAAGGTCACCTGTTCCTTTATGGAAAAGTATCGGTAATTGGTATCGGCAAGTACATGAGGGGGAGTACTTGGTCTTAAAAAAGTGGTATCAGGACATCCATAGTCGTCATGTAGCACAAGACATCACTTGTCTACAGGTGAAACTCGAATAATTAGAATATCGTGCAAAGTTCATTTATTTCACTAATGCAACTTAAAAAGGTGAAACTAATATATGAGATAGACTCATTACATGCAAAGCAAGATAGTTCAAGCCGTGATTTGTCATAATTGTGATGATTATGGCTTACAGCTCATGAAAACCCCAAGAACCTCAAAAAAGTAGATTATTACATGCAATCAATAAAACAAGGATTGTACATAGAACAATACTAGTTCTATAGTATAATATAATAGTACAAGCTAATAATAGTACAAGCATGCATATGTACTCAGTACTAGGTTTGGGCCCCTTTTGCAGCACTTACTGCAATTACTTTTGCACGATATTCTAATTATTCGAGTTTCACCTGTATACTCAAGTCTTCTGTTCCTAGGCCTTATTCATAGAACAGGATGGGGTTGGACCAGAAACCAAGCCACATTACTACTTCTTACAGTGGTTAGGATAATGGTCATGTAATTATACGCTTTCCAACTGAAAATGAAAGGCCTCAGTATGCCCTCCACATACACGTAGTGGTAAGTTTTATACCCCTTATTGCTGTAAATATACCTCCAAACATTCCGAGTGTTGTATTGTTGCTACCCTTCTGCATATCAAGCCTATGTAGACATTATAGTCTTTAAAGTAGATGAAAAACCCTAATAAGAAGAGTAGTTAGTAAAACACTGAATCATAAAGGATTGTCTTTCATAAAACATGATTTTTACCCCTTTTCATCCTTTAAGCATCATTCATACAGATGTGCACATCCAAGCAGAAACTGGCGCCCGACAGGGAAAAATACTGCGTGTAGCCACGTGCATGCCCACTGAACTTGCACATCCTTACAGATATGGATGCACGCCCTTGGATGCAGATAGGCCATGTGAATGATATCTTATTTGCATCTTCGTGACATTGACCTTTTCCAGCCTCTTTACAGCCATTGCATTTTTCCTGCAGTTTAACCAGTTGACATCCGCGGTGTTAAACCCCCTTCCCATCCAGGCCATTTTTCAGTATTCAGCGCTACGGTACTTTGACATTTATTCCATAATGCAGCGCTGTACTGAAATTAATTTTATACCATTTTTTAGGGACAGATAGAGCTTTCTTTTGGTGGTATTTATTCACCACTACGGGTTTTATTTTTTACTATATTAAGGAAAAATTACCGAAAAAAAAAAAAAAAACTGTTTCCCCTATATTCAATGATAAAACATTACCCAATTTTTTGGTAAAATATAAAAGACTGGGTCACGTCGGGTAAAAAGACACCAAACATGTCAAGCCTTAAAATTGCGTGCGCGCGACCTCAAAAAACTGATAATACCCAAAATTGGCCATAGGCGACGCTTTAAAAGCTTTTACCGCTCATCAGTTTAGTGTTATTAGTGATTGATGGCACTAAAATGGATTGCTCTCACTGCGACGTTCGCGGCGATATGTAACGTGTGTAGCGCAATTGTCGTTTTCGCACGCTGGTGCACCAGACGCGTATTTACGTTTATATCTGCGTAAACGTGGGGGTGGGGGAGTTAAACATTTTGGGGGGTTTTTTTTTACTTTTTTTATATGTGACTTATTTTACATGTGACTTTTTTTTTATTATTTATATCAGTGCCGTCCGTCCGTTTTTTTACAACGGGCGGACGGCAAGTGGTTAAACAAAACAAAAACAAAAAACATCCCACAAAACTCAAAGAAAAAAAAATCAATTAAAACAAAAAAGCATTCGTGTAGATACTCACATTTTTCTTCTGAAAATATTAATAAGCGACTCTCTGAGGATGAATGCTTATCTTCATCAGTATACAAAAACTAAAAAAAAAGAAGAAAATTACAAAAAAAATACTGAATCTAAAGAAAGATCAATTCATACAGAAGCAAGATACTAACATTATTATTACAAGTTCCTATAATATTCTTATAAGCTTTAATGCATCTCAGCACAGTTCAAGGTCTTACTAAAAACTGTTAGTATTGCATAACAAAGTAGAACTTCTGTAAACTAGGGATGCACCGATACAGATACTATTAGTCTGAATACCAGGCATTTTCAGGAGTACTTGAACTGGTAAAAATGACCCCATACATGGCATACCAGTGCTTTAAATTTTTAAAATAGCTCCGGCTGCCCTGAGGTCCAGCGCTTGCCAAGCACCTGAAGGCAGCATGACGGGGACTGCTCACAGCGCTGTTTTCCTCCCCCCCCTGCCCGCATGACAGAGCCCAAGTGACACAGCCCTGCACATCAGATGCAGGCCCAACACTTGAGTAAGCAATTACCTGTTAAAGTTTAGTACATGTGGCACAGATTTTCAGGCACAACATGGGTTCAGATGGAGTTTGCATGGGTTTGTTGCTGTGCACGGAGAGTAAAAAACAAAAACAAATAAAACAGCTGGAAGTAGACTATGTTGTAATTTAACTCAGTGGCTTGTAAAACTGCAATGTGAGGTCAAATATGCAAGCTTGCTGGGTTATGGTTACCTTGCCAAGATTCTTCTTGTGCCCCTGCTAAATCTTTAAATTTCCCCCCCTGAGATGCTCCATGTGCCCCAGCTTTAACCTTCCACCTGCCCCTGCTGAAACCCTCCTATCGAGACATCAGGCCGGCACCACAGAGTATGTAGCAAATTAATTTACTAATCTGCATTGTTGCATAATGTATCACAGGAATTTGCAGTCCTCCATAGCTGGTGGTAGTCTGCATTCCTGAGATCTGTAGTCAGTGGCAGAACTATCAGGGTTGCAGCGATTGCAACAGTGACTTGGCCCTGGCGCTCCACCGCTATCCTAAAATCATTAGTCTGAGACTGCGGATTTGTAGTCCTGTATAGCCAGTTATCATTTTCCATTGCTGTATAATCATAGATTGATGGGATCTGTAGTCCTCTATTGCCAAATAATCATGGATTGAGTTACAGTTCTTCATAATTATAAAAGCAACTGCCCTAAAATCACTAGTTTGTATTGGTTTTAGAAAAAAAAAATGTCACATGTCCTTTTAAGAAATGGTATCGGTAATTGGTATCAGCAAGTACCTGGCGGAAAGTACTTGTTCCTTGAAAAAATTGTATGGGTGCATCCCTAGTGTAAACATATGCAAAGTATATGCCATCTAAACTAGCAGGGGCTTTGTGCAACTGATAAGTTGGGGCAGAAAAAAAAAAAATCCGAGAGATAGGAGAGGGAAAAGTTCCGGCCTGACAAATTTTGCTGCAGTAGGTGCATTGCGGTGCCATTCATTTCAATGGATCACAAATGCACCTCCCGTCTCGTCTGCAGTGTGATCGCCCGCAGTGGAATGTGCAGTAATGCAATGCCCTGTGTTCCAGTCCAGTGTGATTTCAAAAAATGTGCATACTAATTTATTCTGATATAAACCATATGTCTGTAATGCTGCATTTGTGTATTTTATTTCAAATAAAATTATAGTATTCATTTTTTTGATTTTATACGATCGAAGTTATTGGCAAACTAATAGATGAAATTAAGAGTTATCTGCAGCCCTGAATATTATTATTGTTAGTGGATTACAAACAAACATTTCATCCATGATAAAAGCTCTATGAATTAGATACAGGCAGCACTGCAAAAGTAACTCCCTTTCAGACTGCCCCAGTCTAACTGAGCTGTCCAATAAGGATGATTTAATCCTATAAATAATTGTAAGCAAGCTTTTCAAAACCACATGGTAAGGAGGAACTGAAAACACATGAAAGGAAGCCCGTTGGTTAAATACAATAAACACATTATATTCATATGGAATATTTTTTGAAAAATTGTAATTTAAAAAAAGGTCTGACAATAAATAAATTCAGACATATGAACAAAACCACTATATACTGTGTTAAGAATATAATTACTTACAACCAAACACACGGATTCTAGTCTTAGATGGCATCATTAGTAATCAACACACTCCAAGCAGCAAAAATAAAAACTACTAGAGGCTGAACCCAGGTACACCACTAATGATAATTTTACTGCATGATAAAATAACTATGGAAAATATACAATTACTGAATCTATCATATTACTGAAACAAAATATAAAGAATATATTCAAGCTGAGTGTAGAAATGCAAAAAAAAAGAGAAGCAGCGCTCAGGGACCAAAGTGCTTTGGAACTGTATGTAAAGTGCCAATAGTGCATATGCTTCCTAGGATTAAAATAAAAACAAATAAATAAGTACTACTAATGAATTCCTATTAGATATAGCAGTAGAAAGCTTGCAAAAGAACCCACTAAGTGACAGTTTAGACATAGGCTCAATAGCAGGGAACCATTTCCTAAACAAGTGAAGGAACCCACAAAACCATATTTGCAGTCACAAAGAAAGTCAAAGCTGCTCAAACAGGAAGACAAAAACAGCTTTGTTTTATTTTAGCACATAAAATACGATTCCAGGGTTTTGTCAATCAATTATTTTATAAAACATACCTACTCTCAAGTTTTAATTTAGAATTAATTCATGGACTTCATAAAAATTCAGATTAAATAAAGTGATCAACGACAGTTTGGTAAATGTCTTCTACTTGCCTGTACTCGGACACTGCTATCCACAGCTTTGAGAACTTTAAGATTGTTGGCAGGCCTAATTTCAATAAGGAGAGCCAAATACTTGGAAACTAGAGGAGATGAAGAACATATCATTACTAGTATGTAGAAATGTATTTAGAAAAAAAAAACTATAAAAACAGTAGTGACAAAACATACTGCTATTTCACGCATTTGTCTTGACATAGTCTTGCCCAAGAAGCAAAACATTCTTAGAGTTAGTAAAGGGTAAAAAAAAAGTACCAACTTCTCTTCTCTACTGTTTTAAATAAAACAAACAAAAAACCATAAAATAGTATTATCTAGACGTGAAGGTCCATTATAAGCCGACGCCAAATCATAACTAAAATAAATACTAACGATAATCCATGTGTTTTTAATATTCGGTTTTATCTAAACATTTCAGAATGACAGCTTAACAAAGAATTGTGGAAATGTTATGCATGTATACAAACACACAGCTGAAAAACAGGATAGTCTGTGGTTAAATGTGAAATTAGTAGAATGGAACTGAAAGTTTGTTTATTGTAAGGCCATGAACAAAAAAATGTTTTTGCGTAAATAAAAAAAAAAAAAGCTACATTGGAATGGTTTATAAAAACCTGGGTACAATCACCAACACTCTTCCTCAATGTATACTACCCTGGCTATGGGTACAGAGAGTAAATGCAAAAGTGATTTTTATGAGGGGGGGAATAAAAAAAATTTAAAAATATTTGAGGGATCGGATCTCCAGAAATGTGTGGGAGGAGCAGGATTGGTCTTCTATAGCAGGGGTAGCTAAACTCGAGCCGTCCAGATGTGAAAAAAACTACAAGTCACATCAAGTTTTGCAAGTCTGAGACAGCCACATACACGACTTCCTGAGTCAGATGCGTGATAGGATTTGTAGTTTCACCACAGCTGGAGGGCTGATGTTTAGCTACCCCTGCTCTATGCGAATCAATGGATGAATGCTTGATACAATCAACGATTTGCCCTCCCCAGATAGTGGATCTCAAAAGCAAACTCAGGCCTGGGGTTCCAACTATTGTTGCATTATAAATACGGATCTTGGAATGGAGATCTGTATTGTTTGGTGAATACAATTGTGACATTTGTTTTCTATTGTGAATTACTGATAGAACAGTCTCAAACTATAACACAATATGGAAAATAAGCTTACACAGTAATAAGAAATGCAAGTAACATAAATCCATGCATTCACTATAACGAAAGAGCTTCAGGCTCAAGCACTGAGCAACAAAAGTAGTGTTAAGAAATAGAAGATCTTCGAAAGGTCATAAGATGACTGACAATAAGATACTATGGGAACAGTATGCCTAAAGACATAATTAACCATTTCACCTTTGAATCCTATATACCCCCTATGGACCAGAGCAAAGTTTACATCAGCAACAATTTTAATGAAGTATTTGTCATTACTTAAAAACAAGTAAAAAAATAGATCTTTTTTTACAAGCAGAGCTTTCTTTTGGTATCATCGTCTTACATTAAAAAAAAACAAAAAAACACACCACACATAACTTTCAGTTTTATCTGTTAGTTAAAAACAATAGGGTTCATGCATAGTGGTAGCGTTTTCCACACGGAAAACAGGGCAAACTTTAACATATGCGCGGATTCCACACGTTTGCGGCTATTACTAGCGCCAGAACGTGCGGAATCCTCCCATAAAATCATGCTTGGACTATTTTGCGGGACAAGCGGTTTTGTACCGTGCGCCTGCTGCAATAGTCTGAACAATGCACATTGCAATGCATTGTTTTTTATGTTTACCTCGGTTCCGCGCATATGCGTACGGCCGAATACGTGCAGAAACCCGCTCTTGTGTGAATAGAGCCTTACTGTAGTGAAACTACAAGACTCATGAGGCACTGCAAGACTGACAGCCACAGGCATGACTCCCAGATGCATGATGGGATTTAGTTTCATTTGGAGTGCTTATTAATAAAATGCATATTACACAAGAAAACAGTGTTATGGGGAAATTGGAAAAAAAAAAAAAAGTATTCATGCAGCCATTGGCAAGTGATTAGCAGTCAAATATCCACATTTCTGGCATGTTCTATTGACATATTGACATCTAAAAAGGCTGCACACATTTAAAATGGCCATCTATCTTTTAAATATACTGTATCTTTACGGACCCCGACAGACATAGGCTTCGTCTAATTAGAGAAATGCTGTAATTCTGAGTGATCTGTGCTCAAGGGTACATTCTGTTTAAGAGCGTAAATGCTCAACAATTTCCATCAAAGACATACATAGCACACTAATCAGTCCTCCATAAAGATAAATATATTCATAATGAAACATTTTCAAAAGATTAGGCGATGTATATGAAACCACAATATTTGCTACTTTGCACAGGGTATGATACGAAGTATGCCACTACCTGGTGAAAGTACTCGACTCGGCACTTCGCATGATGAATTGCAATAGCTTAACGCTGAAAAAAAGACAAAAACAAAAAAAAACAGGGTCAGCATGACATGGTGACATGTAAACAAAAGGTTTAAAAATTAAAAAAATACTGACATATTTTAAAAGTATTTGTTTTTTTCAAGAACAACTTGACTAAAGCTCAGCTCCAAGTATATATACTTACATTGGTCCAGCTTCCGCCAGTGTGTGTATGTATGCATTTTAATATTTTTTTACCTGGAAGGTCCACAGGGATCCTGTAAAAACTTCACAGCTACTACAGTGCTTTACATTGATCTTTTAAGTCATGTACTGCGAATTGCCCTCTGCTGTTAAAACACTGAGGGTCGCTCACTCAGCACAGCGGCCATTCGTTAAATTAGTATTATTGCGAATGAATACTAGCCAAGTTGGACATAGGGCATTGCCAAAATGTTAAGACACATCCCCACTGCAGTGCTGCCGCTGCTTACATTCCAAGTGTTCATTTCAGCGCCAACTCTGGCAACAAATAACATTTTGGATAGCTTTTTTTACCGTGTAAACTTTTATTGATGGACTGTGCACTTTCCTGCAAACCACTTTACATGCTACACTTACCTTACCTAAAAAGGACTGGTAACTTTCCAAAGGTAATCTGAGCACGTATAACAGGGTTTTATGAAAGCACAAACTTAATGAAAAAGGGCAGAAGAACACGAGTATAAAGCTATCTGAAATATAAATAATGAAGGTGCCAGAACGTAATTTCAGTTGTGAAATTGATGCTAACAGCAGAAACCCTTAGGACAGAAAATGTCAACAGGGCATGTCCACTCTTAATACTTGTAACTCTCCAGCACCCTATAGCGTAGCAGCTGAGAGCCACAAGACCCACTGCCATAGCTCAGTAGGTTAAAGGAGTGCAAAGCTGCCAGTGCACAGCCACTTACGACCCACCTCACTGCCAATACCCCCCACTGGATCGATGCGCACTCTTGCACTTGACGCCACTGCAATGGTGCAGAATCTTGCTCACTGGGTGCACACTTTTTTGCAATCAAATCAGTAAGCATCATATATGTGCACAGTTCAACACCCTCATTTACTCATCAACAATACAGATACTTGCCCATCTGGCAGCAGCTAAAACACACAATGAAGTAATAGCAGCATGTTGATCGACCTGTTACTGTGCTCCAACTTCCTCCCCAATAGTCCTAGTTTTAAACTGACAGCAGAGCAATTATGCCTTAATTGACTCAGAGTGCTGACCCACCTTTTACAAGTGCTGCTTTGTATTGTAGTTTCTTTTAAACTCTAATAAAATATATAACGGAATTAAAGGGCATTTTAATATTTGACAGTATGGTCACTGTAATTGGGAGTCTTTTTTAAATTCTTTATTTAAGAGAAAGTAGGTGAGTGAATAAACCTGTTTGTAAAATAAAAATATGAGATAGTACAAAAAAATTAAAAAATGTCCATATAAAACGAATTTCCTACAAGGGACAACTGAAGCAAGTAATATTACAGATGCATCTAGGCCATCCCATGCAGGAAGGTCAAACTTAAAATATGCTCAATATGAAAGAATGTGCATACCCAACCCCTCCGATTTTTAAAAGATCACAGCAGGGAGGCAAAAACCAAAAGGAAAATGGAACACTAGCATGAACATGTAGGGTGGAGAGAAAGAGGGAGAGGGAGAACTCCAGAGGAGAGAAGAGGAGCATGGTGAGCAGGGGAGAGGAAAAAGGCTGAAAATTAGAAAAGAAAAAAAAAAAGGAAGAAAGCGCTCCATCCAGGAGGAGAGCTCGCCGTGAACCAACCCAAACCAGGGGGCCTGGGATGGTCCCATACCAGGAATGTGCTAGAATTAAGTACCAGGTGCCTCTTCAAAAGCTGAAGATTCAGTAAAGTCAGGGCAACCAGGTGGCCATAAACTTGTCAGGTCTTCTATAAGCATAATTTCATTTACCTTATTAGTAATAATCGTTTCAAATATATTAAATACACCAACATAGTTTTTAGAGATTTGCCCTTCAGAAGTTTTCAGGCTGTAACTGCTAGTTCAAGTTACTTTGAAGGATGTCATGTGCTGGATTATTGATGATAATGTCTGTTATTCCATAGGACTTCCTTATGCTAGGGATCATATGAGCAAGTTTCCAAAACTAAATTATGCAAGGAATTAAAAGAGTTGTAAAGGAACTTACCAAGTAGTGTTTTCTCCGTGTTCACTGAACCGCTTATAACATTAACGTCTCTATCAATAGAATACAGCATCTGTAGAGATGGGAAAAAGGGAATATCAAAAATTTACTGGAAATTTGAGACTGTTTGGAGCAAAACATAGTGGCTTTAATGGAATAAAAAAATCCAAACATCACAGATGTAAAAATCGACATCAAGTGCACAGGGTTGTAAATGTTCTATTAGCGTTCATTACATATATTTAAAAAAAAAAAAGCTTTTTTCTGGATACAGTGGTTAAATGTGCAATTTCATTCAAGTTTTAACAAGTTGTCATTGCTTTCTGCAACACTATTGGAGAGATTTCCCCTCACCTTCTGCAAATAAATAAATTAGGCCAGTGGGGCACGGAGGTACATAAACCCAAGAGAAGTTCTAAAACGTTTTCAATTTACTAACAAAAATTTAGATAAATATATTAAAGATCTGCGCTCCTGGAGCCAATTAGGAACAATATAAACAAAGCTATGAAAAAGGGGAGGACATGTTTGTCACATTGTGATCCTATTTACAGCAAGGTTTTTTTAAGTCATTATTTTCCGAATCACATTTAATGCCATCTTTTCAAAGGATTCTGCATACATTTGGTTTTATTAGTATTGTTTAATATTTTAATATAAAATTTCAACACAATATATTAATATTACTCAATATACTCACTAATAAGATCCTTTATTCACTACATTGGGACAGCTCTGTATTGAAAAGTATTGATGCAAAAGCTGCCTTTTTATTTTATCTTCCGATAGGCTATTCTTTTATTTTTAGATGTGGTTCTCCTTTAAAGTAGACCTGAACATCTAAAAATGTTATTGGTGCCGAAGCAGTACACTGAAAGATTGTCTTGAATTCCTCCTGCAAAATAGCAGTACACTTCCTGGCATGAGAGTATACCTAGGCACTCCTGCGCTTGCAGCCTCATAACTGTATATGATGTGTGGTGTGAGGCACTGTTGCCTGTGACTGATAATTTCAATATTTGGAGTGAAGTGATATTTGGTGATGTCACCACTGTTCTGCACCCATCTCCCTGCTTCTTTATTCATGCGTTCGATCTATGCTTCCCCCAACCTTCCCTGACACTTTCTGACTATATAGCCACCAGTTATTAGATTACCAGTCATTAGGAGGGCAGCTCTGACATTAGTAGGCAAAGCCCTGGCCATACACCAATATGGCTGCCTCCACACAAAAACTGTTCGGCTCAGGTATAGTCAGTAATAGGGAAAAATTAGCTGCAGGGAAACCACAGCTAATACTGGTGAGTTGTCCTTTGCCTTGAACTTTTTTTGTGTACAGCTTCAACAGTTAGGGCCACTTCAACAACCTGTCACCGATATCATGGTTTGGATTGTAAAGGAGAAAGAAAGCTGTTTTGGTTACCGGGAAAAGATAACACTGCCACTTTCTCCTAAAAGGGGCCTCCATACAACCCTGATCTGTCCGATGGACAGGCTTTCTAATAAAAGACTGTGGCACAAACCTGCATGTCTGCATTGGGTGGATAGGCATGGCTGTGTCATAGGTAGAGGGAGTGCTTAGATACACCTTGCCCGACTCAGGGAAGAAGAAAAAAAAAAAAAAAAGGATACCAGTGGAGATAGAAGAAAACTTTTCTAGATGAAGAATCTGGCAGCAAAGTCTGCTGTGGTTGGGGATGGCCAACATACAGTACAAACAAAAGTTTAAAGAACCATCACTGACACAAGGCCAAGGCACTGACAATAAAACCCAGACAAGGGGCCAGGTTGTTTGTATAACTTTAATGCAATGATCCTCTACTGCCAATTTCACATTTAAGCAAGTCAGAAAAAAGCAGTTTTACCAATAGCAAATTACATGGAAATTATAATAAAAATGTTGTAGATTTCAGTCAAACGATTGCCTCACTGAATGGATAGGTACCTCATTTTGATTGGTTAGGAAGTCATATAAGCCAATTTTGGTGACATTCTCAGTCCCCTATGGAAGAGAAATACATTTACTCCACTTAAACCAGTTGACACACATTTTACAAACATGTTACTACCGCTTTAGTCATACAAAAGGATAAACCGAAAATGACACTGATATTTGGCAAAATATGCCACCTATAACAAAAATCAAATTTGCACATAAAAACTGAAATCTCAATGTTCCCCTCCCAACAGCACATAAGTTATAAGTTGCACTGAGTAAATACAGCTGGATAAAACAAAAACGGTCTTCATTTCAGGCTGCAAAGCAACAAAATATGATTTTAAAGGAAGGGGGGGTGATTCTTTTCTATACCCACATATATATATAGTGCAAATTAACAATTAATTTCTCGATTAATCGTTAATCTTTTTGATCGATTAAACATTTTTTGAAACTTTCTGAACGAGCACCAGCCAAGGCATTGGCCTATACACATACAGCACAGCAGTGAAGTAATAAAATTAACTAGGATCACACTAATCCAGCACGTTATTATTCTGAGTTGCCCCACTCAAGCGGCAGCCATATTGAGTGGGGCACGTGAGATTAATAACGTGCTGGATTAGTGTGATCCAAGTTCATTTTATTACTTCATTGCTGTGCTGTATGGGTAAAGGCCAATGTAGTTGGATCTGTATGTGCGTTATAATTAATCGAAATGAATCGATTAAAAAGAATTTCGATTAATCGAACACAAACATTTTAATCAGTAACAGCCCTAATAAATATACATACATACCACACATATACTGAGTGGCCCGATTATTATGACCACCTGACGTTAGTAGGCAAATTAGCCTGAAACAGCATGAAAGCATGCACCCCACATGCATGAGTACAACCCTTCAAGCTGGTGGGGGCAGTGTATGGGCATGTTTTCCTGGCATGATTTGGGCCCTTAAGTTCGTGTGGAACAACGTCTGAATAGCACAACATACCAAAGTATTGTTGCTGATCAAGTTCATCCTATCATGTTGATGGTGTATCCCAATGGAGATGGCTTCTTCCAACAAGACAATGCGCCATGCCATGGTGTTCGTATTGTGCAGGAGTGGTTTCAAGAACATGAGGGAGACTTTACCTTGCTTAGGTGGCCCCCACAATCACCAGATCTCGATCCAATTGAGCATTTGTGGGACGAAGTTGAAAGAGCCATCAGGCAGCTGGTTCCACAACCATCAAATCTCAGAGAACTGGACAGTGCTATTCATCAGGCATGGTGTCCGATTCCAAGCATCACCTTTCAACATCTTGTGGAGTCAATGCCAAGAAGAATCGCCGCAGTATTGAAGGCAAAAGGTGGCCCAACGAAGTACTGATGGGGTGGTCATGATGATAAGATAGATAGATAATCACACTCTCCAGCCCCTTTAGCACACTCCTCAGACCATTTGATTAGTTGTGTTATGTCTGAACTTCCTTCCCAGGCACCTGAGGATGCATGCGCGACTCAGTCTACATTCTGAAGATTGTGAAGAGGCAGATAAGTTTTGTTTGTTTTATTTCATAAGTGACAGAGCATGTCTTTTCTGCAATAAAGTGCCTGCTTACTCCGTTTTCTTTTAAGAATCATAACGATCTGTGCTTGATCAGTTTCAATGGGCTGCAAAGGCGACATTAGGGGTCTAATAGAAGAAAAATATTTTAGATTTGCATACATTTTTAAATGTGCATATACCTTCCAAGTATACAGGACATTCCCATTTCTCTCCACATTAACAATTCTCAGCGTCCTCGAGTACTTTGCCAGGTTATCTGAAATGTAAAAATACTATATTAAACACATACGAGAGAGAAAAAAACACAACAACAACAACAACAACAACAACAACAACTAGGGGTCATCACATGGTTTGTCTAAAGTGTTTTTACTTTCAGCAACGAATCAGACAATTCTTCCTATGGAAAATATAAAGCCCATCAGTGTAGATCATTTACTTCATACCCATCCCCAGACAGCCATAGAGGTTTATCAAGTGGCTGATCTGCTTGAGATCCAGGAAGCAGAGTTTCATTATCCCACTGAACAGGTTTAAAAGGCATTAGTTTTAAAATAAGCGATGCATACTTTCCTTAAAGCAAAGGTTCCAAAACTTTAATACATTGTGTACAGTAATTTTACAGCTGCTATATCAGTTTCTCTAGTGGGAAAACTACGGTATTAAAAGTGTTATCACAGAATGTTGAATTTATCTTGGCTCTGACCTATGCAGTCTCAAATATTTCAAGAAACTACCAGCAGCACAACTCTTCTGTTCTTTCTTCGCTCTAATAACTTCATACTCTAGATAGGCCCTTCTCAACATTTTTACCCTAGGGTAACCCTTGAGAGAAAAAAAAAAGGGGGGAGGTTGAGATTAATTTTCTGATCTAAAGCTTTCTCTTATCACTAAAGTATGGTAACTATCTGAATGACAGAATCACCTTTGCATTGGAGCTTATTGACAACACTAACTTTGCATTGGTGCTCAGTTCAAAACTAGCTCTGCATTGGTATTCAGAGCGGTCAATGGCGGCTTAAAAATAGTAGTTCTACTTCTGCAAAGTTTGGGGGAGCACTGGAACTACCGTTCAGTGGATGTAAACCCGCTGCAACGGTAGTCATGCGGAAGAACCCCTGGGGTTGTCTTAGCACCCTGGGGTTCTGAAAAAAAACCAATTGGAGGAGCCCTGCTCTACAGCAGATATTTCCCTTTTCCCCTGTCTGAAACTCCCTTTCACAGGCCACATTCTATTTTCTTACCCCTCCAAAGCAACTCCAAAACCCACCTTTTTAGACAAGTATAAATACTCAAATACATCTCAATTTATTGATCCACTCTAATCCTGCCTCCAATATATGATGGGCACAAGCTTATCTTATACTAAAACAGTTCCACTGAAGATGTCCTCTACTAAAGCATTTGCTCATATGATCAGTTTGAATTGCCAAGATTTGTGACATGCTTATTTTAAAAGTTGCATAAGCATGACTATATCTTGTTTTAAGTGTATAAATCTTGCTATACAATGAATGTTTCAGTTTCAAAACTAATATGAATGAACAAAATAGCTGAAACATTATATACACCAGTTTTAAGTCTAACCATAGAATTTAGATGTATGAACTTAACACCCTCTGGGTAAACTGGTTTTCAGAGTACTGCCAAGTGTTTCTCAACCAGGCATGGACTTTCCAAGCATGTAACTGCAGACTAATTAAAAAGGTAGGAGGCAGGGCCAGGAAGGATAATACCACACTGGTCTGTATAGAGCCCAACCAGGACAACCAAAATAGGTTTAATAACACTTCTAATCACTCCTGACTGATGACATCTAATGCAGAGCCCAACAGACAAGAGGACGCAAGATGTGGATGCCTTCCGCTGCTGGCTTTTGGCTTACAAGGGACAGCAGTGATTGGCTGGGCTTTCCACTGCATCTGCAGGGTTGTGCCGATGAGATCTGGATGGGGCACAATTTAACTACAGAGGCGCCCACCACTCCTCATCCCTGGGGCTGGAAGTTACTGAATCTCACAAATTTGGAGAGGTGGACAGAGTAGGAGAAGTCTCAGCCTAAGCAGCTGCAAGTTATTTCTATTAAGGGTTATTCACACCGTTGCAATGCATTAGCACATGCATGTTAATGCACATAATACTGCATGTTAAACATGGTTGCTTTATGGCAGACCAATTTGAAAGGGCTGCCTAACGTACCACAAAAGGGTATAAGGGTGCCATTTTTTGTAACAAGGCACACTATAATGCACACAAAGCATTGTTAAGCGCTGCAAGACATGTTGCAAGGCGCTTTCTGGGGTTATTCTCTTGACATAGCACCTTCTCAGGCCAATGCACGTTACCCCAGCAAAATGGTGTAATTGGGCTCTCAAGGTAGCAAAATAACTCTGCTAGTGCACTTTGTAGGCCATGCTGGATGTTCACTATTCTGTAACAACTCATTCCATATGCCATGCTGTATGTTCCCTATTCTGCACATACTTATTCTTAGTGTCATTATGTTGAGTTAGTGATGAAGTCCCTCCCCTTCACACATCTATACTTACCTCAACATCACTGTTCTCTTGTCCTATGTCACCTGCCATAGTAATTAGACTGTTGTACAATGGTGTTTTTCTGTAAGGGGCTTGTCAAATTTGTTACAGGGCCTTGTGATTTCTAGTTATGTCTGACTGTAAATATGAATTCCAGGATAAAAATTAGAGGCACTTGGCTGATGGAGTTAAGCTACAAAATTTAACTTTAAAATACAGTGAGGGGAATTTATCAAAACTGGAGCAGATTGTGGAGCAGTTGCCCATGGCAACCAATCAGCATCTCTCTTCAGTTTGCTCAGGAAAGATTTGAAAGTGAAACGGCAAAGCCGATTGGCTGCAGTGCAAATCTGCAGTGCAAATCCGTTCCAGATTTTGTCTGCTCCAATTTTGATGAATTCCCCCCAGTGCGTTTATGCATAAATCAAGCATAGATCGGGAGATCAGTTATAATTTCTAAAGCAAGATCTCAAAACTTCCCATTCTTTCTGAAAAGGATAGTCTATGAATTTTACAGCCAGATTTCCAACCTGGGTATTGTACACACACACAAATCCTTAGCAAAAAAAAAAAAAAAAAACACTTTTATTTGCTAAAATCAAGTAATATATGATCAGGATAGAGTAGAGCCTGGATACTGTTGAAACACATAGGTGTGCCTAAGCAGAAGCTACAAAGAATATCCTAAAGAGGAAATTACACAGAGTAAACAAAGACAGAAAAGGTCTTACATATCACTGTCTGGAATTTCCACATTGCAGAAGTGATTTCTGTTTGCATGTTAATGAAATTTAGTCCAGCAACAATGCTGTGCTATGTTGGTCAGAAACAGATGTAGAATACCAAATTCTGTTAGTTTAAAAATTCACTTTTTAGGGGACAATGGCCTCATCCTTACAGCCTGTCCCCCAAAAGTAATGAGGGTCTTATCAAAATCTGGAAGCCCCTTTAAAATAAGGGAGCCTTGCAGGGGTGCGCAATTCCTATCGCCCGATGCCTTGGAAATATACAGTGCTGTGCGCCAGGAAGTAGGGATAAATGTAGAGTACAATATACATACATACCCTGTTTCCCCAAAAATAAGACCTACCCCGAAAATAAGACCTAGTGGTGACCTTTCCCAGGGCCTGTGGTGGCATAAGGGGAAACTTGAAGAGCCGCGGGAGAGAATCAGTGGTGCCAACGATAGAAGAAGCGAGGAGGCAGCGGAGGGAGCAGAGCCGCATAAGCCAATGCTTCCACTATAGCGCTGGCTCCTGTCACAGGTGGAGTGATAATAAATGCACTCCGCCTGTGAGGAATCTATAGTAAAAGCGCACTTCGCTCATTCTGGCTAGCGATTGGTTACCAAATTGCTCTTGGAAAAAGGTACAGCACCCAATTGCCCTGATCACTCTATTCTTAACTTTGCCATTTTGGATGATTTCATTTGGATTTGCATTCATTTTGGATTGTTGTACATTTAAAAAAAACAATAAGACCTACCCCAAAAATATGACCTAGTGTGTTTTTTTGAGCCAAACAAATTAAGACAGTGTCTTATTTTCGGGGAAACACGGTACATACGTGTATGTATATGTGTATATGTGCAGGGCTCAAAATTTCAGGTCCTGAGCTACTAGCCAGGCCTTCGAAGTTACTCGCCACCAGTTGCCCTTCATAAACACAAACACACAGGGCACAACGCACACACAGCACAACGCACAGGACATTACACATACAGCCACAGCACAACACACAGAGCATTACACATACACATTTCATCTGAAATACATTTTTAGTATTCGTACATGTCTAATAATATGCGTGTGAAGGGGGGCGGGGGGCAGTTTTTACTTTTTTTAAATAATTATTTTTTTTTGGATTATTTATTTATTTATTTATTTACAGTTGG